CGGCCGTTGACGCTTCCGGCCGGGGGCGGGCACAGCGCCGAAGAGTCGTCCCACTGCTTGAGCATGAGGCCCGAGTCGGTCCAGTCGTTGAGGCCGTTGAGGTCGGCGGCCGTCAGGAGCCCGGCTTCGATGGCTGCCTGCGCGTTGTTGCTGCCTCGACCATATTCAGCCGCGATGGCGCACTTGACGCCTCGGGCTCCAACGCCGCCGCCGCTGCCAGGGCCAGAGGGCGACGGCGTTGGCGAGGGGGCGGCGGAGGCCGGATCGCAGCCGCCGCAGGCCTCTGAAAACTCGACACCCGCCACCTGCGCACAGGCCGCGGCCTCGTCCATCTTTGGTCCATCCGGCGACGTCTGCAGCCACTCGATCCGATCGCCGCACGAGCACGTCGTGCACTCGCTATTCGCCGCCGCCGCCGCCCACACCCCTGGCGTGCACGCGGCCGTGCCGCACTTGAACCACGGCGGAAGAGGTGGAGAGGGCGGCGGGGGCGGCAGCGCCACGATCGAGACATAGTCGATCGAGTAGGTGAGTGGGTAGGCGTCGTCGGGCGGCGTGGCGTACCCGACGCCGTTCCCGCCGATGGCGAGGTTGAGGAGCGCAAAGTGGGGCTTGGCGTAGGGCCAGTCGTAGTTGGTCGAGCCGGGGCTGCGGTCGAGGAACCAGGTGCGCTCCCCATTCACGAAGAACTCAAGCTTGTCCGGTGACCAGTCCATCCGCACGGTGTGGAACTGGGTGAGGTCGAGCGGCTCGGAGCTGCCGCCCGGCAGCGCAGTCCCCGTGCCCCAAGAGTGCTTTGCCGAGTGCGCCGTCGAGTAGAGGCTCTCGCCGGAGCGGTCGGGCGGCGCGCGCTGGAAGTTCTCCATGATGTCGATCTCGCCGCACGCAGGCCAGCTAACCTCTCCGATGTCGTTGCCGAGGGTCCAAAATGCTGGCCATGTGCCGAGCACGCCGGGCACTCTCAGCCGCGCTTCCCAGCGGCCATAGGCAATCTCAACCTTGCCCTCCGTCGTGAGCCGACCCGAGGTGACGCGGCCGTCGCTCTCCCTGCGAGCCGTGATGTGGAGCATGCCATCGCGAACGTCGATGTTCTCCTGTGAATCGACGTAGCATTGAAGCTCGTTGTTTCCGCCGCCGTCGCAGTCGACCTCGACGTTCCACACATTGCGGTCTAGCGCCGCGAGGCCTGCGCCGTCAAAGTCGTCGCGAAAGAGGTACTCTGCTGGCGATTGCTGCGAGGGCGGTGGCGGCGAAGGCGGTGGCGGCGGCGACGGTGACATGGGTGGTTGTGATGGTGGCGATGGTGGCGGCGGTGGCGGCGGCAGAGGCCCTTGTCCAGGCGGGTATGGAGGCAGCGGAGGTGGCGACGGTGACGGTGATGGTGGTGGCGGTGGCGGTGGAGAAGGATCGATCAAGGTTGATGCTGATTGGTTCCCAAGACTCGAGTCTGGGCTGACCAAGGCGAGCACGCCTGCGACAGCGAGCGCCACGCCCGCAAGCAGCGAGGCGATGGCCAAGGCAGTGACGACGATGATACAGCGGTAGAAGCGGAGAAGCGGAGGAGGCGGACGTGGTGCTGCGTGGAAGGGGTCGATAGACACCGTGCTGTGGCGCGACTCACTTTTCATTGGCGGCTACAGGAGCGCCGACGACCGTGGATGAGCACGGCGTGAATATCGAGCGGGCTTCAGCTGGGTTTTCTTTCTTTTGGAGCTAGCCTTCGATGTTATGAGCGTCTCTTTCACACAAAAACACAACCATGGACCCAAGACGCACAAGCTCAGACAGTCTCTTTCACACTGGGACGACAAGGGTGTAGATTGGGCACAACTAGAATGGCACAAAGAGAGTAGAAACGGCGAGTTTGCGGCTGCCACCCCTTGGAGCACTTGGAGTGCAGTCGGCAACCTCAATAAATAAATAAATAAATACAACGGACATCCCAAGCTAGGGCTGGGTCGAGGACAGACACGTCCCCACCTTTGCAGGATTTTGCAAAAGCGAGGGGGGAGGGCGCATCGCCGCGCGGAGAGGGCTGGGGAGAGGGCACAGGGGATCTCTCTCGCATAGGATAAGCACTCGGCGGCACGAGGGCAAGGCTGGGCGTCCTATGTTTATATTTTGTGCTCCCCCCCGGACCCCTCGCTCTCGGGCACTAACCATCTGACCACTCATCGACGGGGCTTGGCGAGCGGCCGCGCTGCGGGGCAGGGCTGGTGAGAATGGGCTCTGGCCACTCGCCCGTGCGGTTGTAACCCCGCATCTGTCGGACAGAGGCCTCGACCGCCCCTCGCGGCAAGCTCTCGAGCATCTCGAGCAGCTCGCCCGCCGCCATCGCCGCCTCGAACTGCTCCCTCATGCCGAGCGCGCCGCATACCCTGCGGACCGCCTCCTGCTGCACCTCGTCCGGCGTATCGGTTTCATAGCCGGACGAGTCAGCGGAGGCGGCCCGCTTGGCGGGCGGAGAGTCGGGCGACGGCGAGCGCGACTGGCGCGAGGGCCCGCTGCCGCGCGCGGACAGCGCGTTCTTGTCAACGAGACGGGGTCCAGCATCGGCACGGCCCCTGGCACCGCGGCCCTTGCCGCGCTGCTGCTGCCCACGCTTCCTGCCCGGGTTAGGGACAGTGAAGGAGCAGCCGCGCACTCCGCCGCCGCTGGGCGGCGGCGGCACGCGCGCGGCGGCGGCCGGGCCCGCAGGCGCGGCGGGCTGGCCACCCGCGGTGGCACCCTGCGGCTGCGATGCGGCTGCGGCGGCGTACGTCTTGGGCGCCGGCTCCGCGGCTGGCGGCGCGGCGGCAGGGGCGGGCGGCGCC